AGAGTTCCTGGAGAACCCCAGCCAGAGCTCCCGACTAACAGCTCCATTCCGGAAACATGTCAGGCCCAAGAAGCAGCATGAGATCCGGAGGCTGGGAGAGGTGAGGAGATGGCTGGAGCATGGGTGGTGTCTGGGAACCCAGGGACTCCTTAAGCGTGGCTTACAAAGATATGTGCCCTTTACTTCACATGCAAGGCCAGAGGCCCTAGACATTCCTTTACCTCAACAGATATAACTATAATCATATTTTGATGCTGGGGTTCTTTTTCATCCTTTTGTGGGGTTAGTTGGTAGCTAGGTCTGAATCAGTCTCATTCCTGTTCTCAAATCTCCATAATCCGCTCATGGCTTAACGCAGGGTTCTTGTTCTTTAGGGGAGATTGAATCACTGACCTGTAAGGCAAGGAGAGGGGGCCTGAACCTGGATCAGGTCCACTCTCCGTGCTTCCACCCTCACCCCTATATCTTTCTTTCCAAATCTGTCATCACATCCGGGGCATCCTGTGTCCATCTTTCTCTGTCATCTTTGTCTCCTCCACTCTCACTATGGGTGTTTGCCCCAGGAGTCAAGAACCAGTGGCCAGGAGACCTTTGTTCCCTCTTCTTTCAGTTGGTGAAGAAGCTGAGTGATTTCACAGGCTGCACCCAGGTTGTAGATGTGGGCTCAGGCCAGGTGAGCCAGAGTCTTGATGTACTGGTTTTTTGAGTCATGGGGAGATAGAACACCTGGAAGGCAGGTTATTGGGCCACAGGCCCAGCGAGGCAGGTGTCAAGAAGCGGTGGAACCAAGCAGGGTAGATTTTTTTTCTCTTTGCATAATTTGTTTTAAGCCAGTCAGATTTAAATGGGGGAGTTATATACCAACTTAAGCCACACTGATGTTAATAAGTTCTGTAGGGTAAAATTTAAGCCTTCTGTCGGGCCTGGGACCCAGGTGTCCAGGTTACCCCTGGGGAGGGTGACAATGGATACGGCACTGAACAGGGCTGTTTCCATCTTCCTCCTCATGACTCCAGGGCCATCTCTCCCGCTTCATGGCTCTTGGCCTGGGGTTGATGGTGAAGAGCATCGAAGGGGATCAGAGACTGGTGGAGAGAGCCCAGCGCCTGGACCAGGAGCTTCTGCAGGCTCTGGAGAAAGAGGAGAAGAGGAACCCGCAGGTAGGCCACCCCTTCCTGCCACCTGGACTGTGGGAGGAGGGGCTGCTTGGCTGGAATTGAGCACAGAGGCTGGATTCCATCTTTCAAATTTCTCAGCTTGAAGTGGTGTGGTCCCTAATTTCTATTACCTCTTTCCCAAGGTCCCCCCTTCCCCACTGCCTCCCTTTATCTCAAAGTTATTTTCTATTTACAAAGTGCTTTCCACACCAATGTATACTTCTCACAACCTGTGAAGTGGCCACTCAGGTTTTAGACTCATTACAAATCAGAAAACTGGGTCTCAGAGATGAAAAGATGTACATGGTGAATGATAGGTCCAGGATTTATCCATCTCCTGACTTGTGGTCCAGCCCTCTCCCGCACCCAGCTTATCTCCCACGTTCCTCCTTGGGGAATAACATGGAGGACAGATCCCTTCCTGTGGCCTGACGTGGCCGAGGGACAGCAAACAGACTTCCCATCTGCCTTTGTCCTTTCCTGCCTCCACAGGTGGTCCAAACCAACCCTCGTCACTCCCCACACCATGTGGTTAGGTGGGTAGACCCCACAGCCCTGTGTGAGGAGCTTCTGCTTCCACTGGAGAACCCGTGTCAGGGCAGGGCCCGCTTGCTGCTCACAGGCCTCCACGCCTGTGGGGATCTGAGTGTTGCCTTGCTGAGGCACTTCTCCTGCTGTCCTGAGGTGGTGGCCCTGGCCTCAGTGGGCTGCTGCTACATGAAGCTGAGTGACCCTGGTGGCTACCCACTGAGTCAGTGGGTGGCTGGGCTGCCTGGCTATGAACTGCCCTACAGGCTTCGGGAGGGGGCCTGCCATGCCCTGGAGGAATATGCTGAGCGGCTACAGAAAGCTGGCCCTGGCCTCCGAACTCACTGCTACCGTGCAGCACTGGAGACAGTCATCCGACGGGCCCGGCCCGACCTCCGTCGGCCAGGCGTGCAGGGTATCCCCAGGGTCCACGAGCTCAAGATTGAAGAGTGAGGTTGGGGTACGGGGGTGGGGGGCAGTGGAGGGGAGATTTCTAACTGGAGATCTTCCGCCCTCACTTTCAGCATAGCCTAAAGAAAATCTAAGTATACCCAGAGGAGTGATTTGGAGTTCTCTGACCAGGGTACCTTCTCAAAATTTCTTTAAGAGAGTTGTCCCTCTTTTATCAGGAGACTAACAAAGAAATATGAAGTTTTGGCCGGGCGCGGTGGCTCATGCCTGTAATCCCAGCACTTTGGGAGGCTGACGCGGCCAGATCACCTGAGGTCAGGAGTTTGAGACCAGCCTGGCCAACATGGCGAAACCCTATGTCTACTAAAAATACAAAAATTAGCCAGGCGTGGAGGCACGCGCCTGTAATCCCAGCTACTGGGGAGGCTGAGGCAGAATAGTTTGAACCCAGGAGGTGGAGGTTGCAGTGAACCGAGATTGTGCCACTGCACTCTAGCCTGGGCGACAGAGCAAGACTGTCTCAAAAAAAAAAAAAAAAAGGGGGTTTTAAATGCTAAAAATATGGCTAGTTGGACAGAACTGGATGAAAATGTTTAAATCAATTTACTATTGGATAGACAGCTCACAGCCAGAGAAACATTCAAAAATACACAGCCAGGTATGGTGGCTCATGCCTATAATCCCAGATCTTTGCGATGCCAAGGCAGGAGGATTGCTTGAGGCTGGGAGTTAGAGGCCAGCTTGGGCTACGTAGAGAGATACCTCTGTACAAAAAAACATAGGCAGGCATGGTAGCTCATACCTGTAGACCTAGCTACTTGGGAGGCTGATGTGGGAGGACTGAGGTGTTTGAGACTACAGTGAGCTATGATTGCACTGCTGCTCTCCAGCCTGGGTGACAGCAAGACCCTGTCTTAAAAAATACATATTTGGGAGGCTGAGGCGGGCGGATCACAAGGTCAGGAGATCGAGACCATCCTGGCTAACACGGTGAAACCCCATCTCTACTAAAAAATACAAAAAATTAGCCGGGCATGGTGGCGGGTGCCTATAGTCCCAGCTACTGTGGAGGCTGAGGCAGGAGAAGGGCGTGAACATGGACGGTGGAGCTTGCAGTGAGCAGAGATCATGCTACTGCACTCCAGCCTGGGTGACAGTGAGACTCCATCTCAAAAAAAAAAAAATATATATATATATATATTCGTGAAAACGCATATTAGGGTAGAAAATAAAGCAAAGTTGGAATTAGGAACAAAGTTTAAGTGCGAGGTGACAGTTCTTAAAACCAAACTGAGTGCTGAATGTGACTGATCCCACAGATATGTGCAGCGGGGGCTACAGCGAGTGGGGCTGGACCCCCAGCTGCCACTGAATCTGGATGCCCTTCAGGCCCACCAGGCCCAGGAGAACCGTGTGGTGGCCTTCTTCAGCCTGGCTCTACTGCTTGCCCCACTGGTGGAGACGCTTATTCTACTGGACCGGCTGCTGTACCTTCAGGAGCAGGGTGAGGGTGGCCTACAGCAGGGACCCAAGGACTATGGTGACTGGGGTTCTGGGACTCCTTCTCCAAGTCCCAGCTCCAACGTCTCCTGGGCCCAGCTAATCACTGTTGTGATCCTTGGACCCCACCTTTGAGTCACTAGTGGGTTGGGAGTAGGGGATTTGTTGAAAAATTAAGAATCCAGGCGGGGTGCAGTAGCTCATGCCTATAATCCCAGCACTTTGGGAGGCCAAGGTGGGTAGATTAATTGAGGTCAGGAGTTCAAGACCAGCCATGGTGAAACCCCATCTCTACTAAAAATACAAAAAGTAGCCGGGTATGGTGGTACACACCTGTACTCTCAGCTATTCGGGTGGCTGAGGCAAAAAAAATTGCTTGAAGCCAGGAGACAGAGGTTGCAGTGAGCCAAGATTGCACCGCTGTACTCCAGCCTGGGTGACAGAGACTCCATCTCGAAAAAAAAAAAATTAAGATTCCTACCAAATCAGCCTCTGGTGAACCTCCCTAAGGTGCATGTTAAGCAAGCTTCCCAGGCATCGAGAACCTACAATGCAAGAGGACTGCCTCCCAAGTCAGTGCCTTGGGAACCTGTGTTCCTTATGGAGAATGGGGTCTCCTTAGCCCAGCTGGATCCTCCCCCATGCGGAAAAGGGACTGTGCCTGTAGGCCTGGGCAGAAGAGGCTGGGTGAGTTTGGTTCATTCTTCCCCTTATGATTAAGCCCTTTCTTCCAGGTTTCCATGCTGAGCTCCTGCCCATCTTCAGTCCTGAACTCTCTCCCAGAAACCTGGTTCTGGTGGCCACCAAGATGCCCCTGGGTCAGGCTCTTTCTATTCTGGAGACTGAAGACAGCTGATGCAGCCTCAGGACACATCTCAGACCCCATCATCTGAAAGTGCCCAGATAGCACAGTGGCAGAGTACACCTCATACAGAGAAGCAGCATCCTGCATCCTCCTGAGTCGTGGTTCCTTCAGTTTCATCCCCTTTCTCTCCCTCCATGGATTATGTAATACAGTGTAAAGTTTTAATTTATTAAAAATTAGAAATCTTTGTTTCCTTCCCATTTCTGTAGGTAGATAAAAGGAGACGCGCACCCTCCCTGTGGCACTGCTGCAAGGGTGCTACAGTTAGGACTCACACGCCACTCCCCACTGGCCTCCCTAGCAGGTGGTGTAGGTGACAGCTTCTGTTACTCACAGATCTCCATGGAGGGGACTTCTTTACCCCACTTTGGCCTCCAACTCAGAATCTGCAGGCCCTGCCCCTTGGGAGGGCTGCCTTAAGGCCAGCTAACTTCCATCCAGGTTCTCTCATAAACTCAGGGAAGAAGCTCCTTTCCTTCAGTCCCGGAGAGTGTGCTGGGATTAGGGGTGCCATTCTATCTCACAGCAGCTGTACACAGGACTCATAAACTGCTCTTTATTGGCATCTGAAAAAGAGGTGCCTCAGCCTTCAAGGCTGGGACACAAGTTGGGGAGGAGCTGCTGTTCCTGGGCTCAATACCAATAGACCTTCTTGTATTTCCGAGTCTCCTTGATCCCCATGGCCTCCATCACCTCCTCCTGTAGTGTCTTTAGACGGGGCACGTAGGTTCTTTCTAAAGCATCTTCCACTGATGTGTCTTTGGGGCCATCTGTTAAGCCAGAGGAAAGGAGATGGGTGGGAGGGCTTGCCAACTTTCATTAACATCCCCTACTCTCACTCCTAGCACCCACCCCTGACCTTCCTGCCCCTCACTCACCAATCCATGTTTCAGGGACGATGCCATCAGCTCTGGGAAATTCGGGTTTAGGGATAATTCTCCCCGATCGTGTGGAGACTCGTACCCGCTCTCCTGCTTCAGTATATCTCCACTCAATCTCAGTGGGTTTCCTGGTGGATAGAAGAGGTGAGCCTGGCCTATGAGCCAGTTTCCTGCCACCCTCCAACCCAAAAGCAGAGTCAAGGGTTCAAAACACCAGGGTTACCACCGCGTTTCTCCACCTCTGTGTTGGGGTTACCCGCAGGGAATCATGTCCATGAGATGGTCCCTCTCAATCTCCAGAGCATCCAACCCATCATTCCCATTGGACAGCACTTTGTGGACCCAGAGGGTGAGAAACCCTCTGCCCAGAGCCCTGTCGCTTGCCTGTCCATAGGATCCACAAGTTTGACCTGGCGGTGGAGCAAGGGGGCTTCACTAGGGATCATGGTTCCTCGGTATTCCATGGTCTTGCCAATGTAGCGGTAATACTGTCCAAGAGAGGGGAGTGTCAGAAAACAAGGGGTGTGAAAGGGGTTTGCCCTTGCTACTCAGCACATTCAGCCCAAGTTGAAAAGTAGAAGGTTCAGTAATGCCACCATCCCCTCAGCCAGTCTCCTGCCACCCTGCGCTGCTTGGAATGGAGAGGGACGGATGAGACGGGCTTCCCAAGCTTCCCCATCCTCTCTCTCCACTTACTGTGTTCAGCCCTCCCACGACCACGCAGTTTTGCTGCCGGATAACTTGAACCACTTTGCCCTGCTTTCCGGCATCCTTGCCTTCTAGGATCTCCACCTGTGGGAAGATACGAAGGTTAGGGAGGGGGATCCTTGCCCAGGAGATTCCCCATCACTCTATGCCCTGTATGAGGCTCTCACCGTGTCCCCACAGAACAGATGCCAGTCTTCATCAGAGATGGGTTCCACAACCACTGGGCGCCGCCTGCTCCATGGGGCATTCTTCCTCTTGTCTGCCAAGGAGCCTGAGGGGCTCATCCCATAGCAGTAATTGGGGGGCAGAGTGACCTTGGATGCCAAGGCCAGTAGGGCAGAAAGACGCATGCCTGGAGGCTGTAAGAAATCCCTTTGCCAGCAAAATGCTCAGAAATCTTCCTTGTTAGCTCTGGGTAGATGGATAGAAACGGGAGCAAAGAGGCAAGGAAAGGAACATTTTTTAAAGCACTTAGTCTGTTGCTCAATGGACCTCATCACATTGAATCTTCACAAGAGGTTATCATCTTTATAGATGAGGAAATAGAAAGGTCAAGTAACTTATTTATGATTACAAAGTTACTACATTGGAGAATCAGCATTCAAACCCACATATATCCGACTTCAAAGTCCAAAAAAATTCATTAAGGACAAGGGCCATGTTATCTATCTCAAGTTCATGAATCCAGAGCTTGGCACCTAGTAGGTGCTTAAGAAATACTTATTAAATCAATGTATGAACAGCCAGATGGGAAAAAAACAGAGGATGGAATGCTGGCATACGGCCAAAAGGTAGGCAGTTGTAAGTCAGTGAAATGAACAAATAGGTAGCAGAAATAAAAACTGGGGTTAAAATGTCCCTATCCCACTTACAATTCCTGTCCTAAGACAGGAAATAACCACTCCTCCCTAAGATAGCTCCTTTTCTAAAGGAAAAAGACCCAAGGCCAGACTCTAGAATTACTGAGTCCTAAATTTCCCAACTAAGTATGTGCTCTAAACCACTCAATTCTCAATTAATGAGGTAGTGAATGAACTGAAGACATAAATGGTAAGTGCTTCAGTTTACTGAATACTTGCAACTTCCCAGGTGCAATGCTAGGTGCTTTCCTGTATCTCATTTAAGCCTAAGGACAACCAAATGAAGAAGTCACCATTAACCTCATTTTATAGATAAAAATGAACCTTATCTATAAGGTTCTTCAAAGACAAATAAAGATACTACAATGGCATAAAGAGCCCTGGACAGGGAAGTCAGATCACCTGGGTTCTACTCCCTGCTCTACCATCATCTTACTGTATGACACTAGGCAACTTCACTTATTTATTTTTTGAGACGGAGTCTTGTTCTGTCACCCAGGCTGGAGTGCAGTGGCATGATCTCAGCTCACCGCAACCTCTGCCCCTCGGGTTCAAGTGATTCTCCTGCCTCAGCCTCCTTAATAGCTAGGATTACAGGTATGTGCCACCACGACCCGCTAATTTTTTAAAAAATATTTTTAGTAGAGACAGGGTTTTACCATGTTGGCCAGGCTGGTCTCGAACTCCTGAAATCAGGTGATCCATCTACCTTGGCCTCCCAGAGTGCTGGGATTACAGGCATGAGCCACCACGCCCAGCCGGCAATTTAACTTTTGAACTTCAGTTTCATCATCCACAAAATTTACAGGGTTGTGGGTGTCATTTAGATTATTTTAAGTATTTTAACAAAGCAAGGTGCAAAGTAATGTGAGTAGTAGTATCCCTTTGGGGTATATGAATATATAGTCCAGCACAGTCACATTTATGGAAAGGAAACAAGAAACCAAAGTACTTGTTTTAGGGGAGAGGAAGTGTTTGGGAGGACTGTTAATTCCATTTTGCTTCTTCCCATAATAACGTTTGCATTTTCTAACCATGTGCACTTAAAAATATGTATTAACGGGTTATCTGAACAGTGAGATACTGGGTCATTTTTCTTCTTTATACTTCTCAGTATAAAGCCCTGATGTTATTTTCGGAAAAAGAAACAAAAACAAACAAAAAAAACCTTGTTATTTCCAATTAATGCTGATTGGCCTAGTGTTCCTGAGTATTCAACAAATGCTTAGAGAGGACTACTATATGACAAACCTAATGCTGGGAATTTCATTGCTGGCATTTGGTCTTCACATTGCCCAGTGAGGGAGGTGAGGTTGCCAGATGCATCATAAAGTCCCTTTTATAGACAAGGAAATCAAGGCCTGAAAGCCGGAGTGACTACCCTGGTTCATAAAGTTTGACAGGAGCAGGGCCAATCTTAAGACCCAAGCCTCCCGCGTGATTGCTGCAAGGAGTCCCTTCACCTCAGTCATTCCAGGTCTGAACCATCCCAGCCCAGAGCAGCTTGCATGCCCCCGATATCATTCCCTTCTTTCCCTTCACAATCTGGAGATGCTGCTGGTGAGCGTCCCGCAGTGGGGCTTTCCCTGCATGTTCTGGAGGCGCCGTGCAATATAGCGGGGTCGAAAGTCTGCCCTTTCAGGTCACGGTTCCAAAGGCTTCCCCCACCAGCCTCATCCCAGACAACGTCAAGGCCTAGCTATCTTCAGCACCCACCCGCTCCAAACTTTCGGTGCAAAGAAACCCTGGGGAGGCGACTGAGCCATGGGCAGGGAAAAGGTTAGGCTCTTCCCGCACCTGCCTCTCGGATGAGCACCTCTGGGGCGGGCGGCCCTCACCTCCACTTTCCGCGGCACTTCGGCTGCTCAGCACATGGGCCCTCAGCGTCCCCTCCCCTGCCACGCCCGTCGACTTTGTGGGAGATGTAGTCCAAGTGTAAAACGGCAGCTCAACCACGAATCTGATCTCTCAGCATGCTGGGAGTTGCAGTCCGCCGCTAGAAAGCTGGAAACAGGAAGTTTGGCGGGGTAGGAAATCAAGGAAACCAAAACACACCATGAAGCATGTTGGGAATCGAAAGGCAAGCTGGTTAGGGCGGCCCGCCTGGCACATTCCCGCGCATGCTCTGCGTGGAGGCCGCTGGGAATTGTAGTTTCTAGAGAAGGCGGCTCCATTTTCTAGGTGGTTCTGGCTTCCTGTTCAAGGCGAAGCGCCGCCCTTACCAGACAGGGCTACAGCCAATGCTCTCCCTGACCTTCTCTGCTGGAGTGGGGGCAGGGCAGATTCAAAATCTGCCTGTAGGCTTTCTAGAGGAAGGGATGAAACGTGGGCCCTTCCAATGCTAGTAGCCGATCTAGTTACAAAATGTCAGATCTGGAAGGAAACAGAAATGATCTAAGCCAGTCATTCTACTTAACTCGGGGAGTACTATCGGGATTTCACCCTACCAACCCCCTCCCCCTACCACCCCATCACCAGCTAAGGGTGGCAGGTAGCATTAGCAAGGAGAAAGGGTTATACTATTATTTGACTTGACCTTTGGGGTCAAAGTTGTTTATACAATCAGCCTCCAAACTCCCACTTCATCTTGGGCTGTGGCCGATACTGGCATCCTCCCATACCCCACTTCTTATGCAAACCCTTTTTTTAAAAAAAAACAAAAAAAAAAAACCTCATCCAGGTGCGTTAAACAGTGGCTGGGCAGGAAAGGTAGAATGAATGGTGTGGTTTATTCTAGGACTCTGCCCACAAGAAGTTTGGATTTCCAAATGCCTAAGAATGGAGGAGGCTGACACCCTCTACCTCAATCTGAGACGATCTGGAAATCATTTGCATTCCCTTACCCCACTTTCTGTCTTCAGTTAACCAATATGCCCCAAAGAATCAGTCAGAATCCAATATAGTAATCAACGGGTTTTATTTTCCTAGAACTCAAATCATCTACGGTTCTCAGAGCTAAACTTCCAAAGCTACAGTCAGCAATTTTTCATCAGAGCCCAAGGGAGAGGGGCCAGGGTAAAAGAGACGAGACTGTAGAGAGGCATTGAGAGACCAGTAGGAAGAGGGCGGGAGAGGGCACTTATATCTCTCTGTCCTCTCAGTGGGTTACAAATCAGATCTGGTGACAACACTGAGGGGGCCAGGTCAGGGTATGTGGATGAGAAATGACACTGGAAGGAACACCAAAGCCCCAGCTACAAAAAGAAAGTCATCAAGCCCCAAATAGAAGGGGAGCCTCCCAGTGCACCTCAGAAATGGGGGCAACGATGGGGAAGGAAGGAGCAGAATGGGGAGCACACAAAGGGTTAGGGGTCTTTAAAATTTTTTTTTTGTAATTTTCTTTTATTAAAAACATTTCCTAAAAAATGTGTCTTTTCTTTTATGTCTGGGTGATATATATGACTATAAGCTGGCCTTGAGCACTGTGCAGAGAGGGAAAAGGACAGCTAGGGGTCTTCCCAAGCATCCCATTTCTGGCTTCAGAGATCTAAAGGGGAACAGATGCTCAATACTCACACCCAAATGGGTAAAGTCAACCCTTCAGGTCTCAGGTCCTTGGCCCAAACAACTAGGAAGCCCCAAAGTCTTTTGATGATTAACTACAACTCCCAAAACTCTTGGGTCGGCAAAAGGAAAAATGGGTGTTGTTAATCATCAAGGATTTATGGAAAGGAGCCCCTCCCCTACAAGCTGTTCCACTTTCCCTGAATCTAGGCAGCTGGGATAATAGGTGTAGCAGGGGACAGGAGCTCAGGAGGAGGCTGCCCTCCTGTGCTGTCCCTATGCCCCATTTGAGGATTGCCCCTCCCAGGCCCCACAAGCCCACCCTGCTGTTTATGCTCCATCTTTTCCATTCCTACCCCTGATCCAAACCCAGAGTTCCAGAATGCCTAGGAGAGTGGGAGAAGGGTGTCAGGAGGTGGGAATAGTTGTCCCAGGCCCCAGCAGAAGCCTGGAAAATAGCTTCAAGCGGAAGGAACACAATGGCCTCATCTCATTCCAGGGAGAAGACATGGCTCTGACTCAGATCATAGGCGAATGGGGACCTAGAGGTGAGGGCCAGGTGGTCCGCCCCATCCAGGTCAATCTCCATGGGCTGGGCTTGGAGTGGGAAAAGTGAGTGGAAGAGGAGAGCAGGTTGGGGTGGGAAAGGGGTTCCCAGTTTGCAGGCCATGGCCAGTTTCCCCAGTAGCACCCAGACAGCAGCAGGAACAGGGTGGGGGCTCCTCTTCAAACATTGGTGGCTACAGGCTGTGAGGGAGGGTTGGAGGGGAGAAGGGTTAATGGTGTGGCCTTGGCCTGGCCTTGCCCCAGCCAGTGCCAGTCTCCTAGGAGAGCCCACCCCGCCTCCCCAGAGGCTGGCCACTGCAGGCCCTTTTCATCCTCCTCTCCGAGAGTGACCAGCCCCCACTAGTCCAGCTGCCAAGGGGTCAGGGGGCTCACTCACCTCTCATGATCTCTGATGCCTGGGGCCTCAGCATCTTCCTTGGCAGCCTCTTCCTCTTCCTCCTCCTCTTCTTCTTCCTCTTGGGGAAGCCCCCGGCCAGAGCCAGGCTCAGAGGGGGTGCTATTCTTTTCCACCTCCATAAGAAGGGGCCTCTCGCCCTCCAAGGTGGCTGCCTCCTTCTCCTCTCCTTCAGGGTTTTCTGCCTCCTTGGGACGTTTAGGAGAGTCCTAGGCAGGATCGACAGAGGAAGCGGGCTGAGGCTGGAGAGGGAGGCCATCAGCCACCCACTCCTCTCCTCCGGGCCTCCTTCCCAGGCTGACACCCAGTCCTTCCCCAGCCCTACTAGCTGAAATGACTTCTGTGTCCCATTTTGTCAGCTGGGGACTCCCCAAGCTAGAGGCTGGATCTACCTCTCAGACTGGGCACCTCTGAAGCAAAGCCCTGCTCTTGTGGGATACTCCATGGGGAATGCTGAGGGGGGCCCAGGCCCTAGGCAGGCAGCAGTTACCTCCAGCAAGTCCCCTGCTCTCCTCTTCAGCGCTCCCTTCTCGTTCTTCTCCTTGGCTGGCTCATCAATGACCAGCTTCCCTTCCTCGTCGCTGCTGCCCTCTGCATTCCCCTTCTTATCACCGTCACCCTCTGTGGCTTCAGGCTCGGGTTCAGGCTCTTCCACGCAGCTCTTTTTCTGGGAGGACTGCAGCAGAGACAGCACAGGCTGAGTGGCACCAGTCACTGCCATGCTGGGCCCCCTCCCCAGACCCTCCCTTAGCCACTCACTCCTTCCTTTTCCCGCCTCTCCCCCACCCCCACCCAGGTGCCCAGTCTCACGAGTGATTTGAGACCCACCTCTGTCGGATTAGCCCCGGGGTAAACCCACTGGCCGGGCAGGCAGGGCTCTGTGCAGGAGGGGGGAGGGCTGGAGCAGGAGGCAAAACCTCGGGTCAACTTCTCCCAAAGGGAGCTAGGACCCTTTCCCCGCCAACCC